TGTTACGACAAATCATAAAATAAAAAAACTCCATTTAAAATCAAAAACACTTTGAAAATTCAAAACATTTTATTTATCAAAATTTAATCAACGTCAACTCCTTGCACCCAGCAGTATGTGAATCTCAAAGCTGAACAAAACGAAATTCTGCTTAACTCAAGAACAAGTTGTCCTTTCTAAGTCCCACTAGCTAAACACACTGTATTAAATTACCTATCCAAAATTTACGTTTAACAAAATACAGTTTCATGTCATGGGAATTGGTACATTTTCGTATTTTAGGTTAAATTCAGTCCTGAGAAAGTAAAATTGCAAGTTAGCTCCTGTAAAAAATAAAATTGTATATTGTTGTATTTTTGGCAAATCCCAAATACGCATTTTTGTAGCAATAAAAAATGACAAAACCTTGACGCAACCATGACGCGACCCTGACGCAACCCTGACGCAAACCCTGATGAAATTCTGACGAAACCCTGACGAAACTTTGACGCAACCCTGACGCAACCCTGACGATTCCTATATGCAAACAACAAGATTGCTTTTTATTGGCGCATTAGCGGAATTTTTGCTGCGGTGCCATGGCGTTAATACGTTTGTACCAAATTTTAACATTTACTTGTATGAAATACAGTTGTATTTTGTTTATCTATTTAATAACAAAATTTCGATAATATTTCTTCAATATATTTGTTCAATTTGTATAAATATAAATCATATTAAAATAATAATCGTAATACGTGTGTTTTATGGTCCCCCTTTTTAATTATAATTCGAAGTATAGTGAATTACAGGAACTAAGGTGTCTCTGTTTCAATGAATTACCTTTAATACCAGTTCAATCTTCGTGCTATTCTGAGAATAAGAGAGAATTAGAGAAAATGAGAAAGAGAGAGAGAGAGAGAGAGAGATGGACAACCGATTGAAATTCTAACATGAAAGGAAAAAGAAATGATCTGTTTTTTCCTTTGAGAGTTTGTTCACGCCACTGTTGGGTGTGTTTTCATTTTTCACTGAAAAATACAGACAAATTAAATGTGATATTGTAGATACGTTATTAATACATTAAATATGATATTAACTTGATTATTTTATTTATGAAATGGTTTGAAAAGTCATTTTGTTCTTTGCTGACACAATTTTCTGCATTAGTTGATGCAATCTGACAAATTGTAACACATGAAATCGATCGACAGTTGAAATTTATCAAATTCAACTATTTATGATCACTTCAAAGGTTGTTAGGTTTAACCTCGAAGCAAAAATTATCTTCATTTTTACAAAAATAAAACGAAATGACTTTCCAAATCACCTAACATTTATTTAACAATCATAGCTTATGGCAATTGCACGATGTTCTTATTATGGTCAACACAACTATCGTTAACTATCATATTTTAAATTCGATCGATACCATAATATCACTTTTATTATATCTGCATAAAGAATATTGATCCTATAGTTTATTCCGTATATATTAAACATCCCCTAACTTCACCCCTCAGCCCTCAGCCCTCACCTCTTCTTGACGACATGCATGATTAAATATAATAAAAAAAGAAATATCAGAAGAAAGGAAGGAAGGAAGGAATAAAATCTACATGTATAAATAATTAAACAAATCGTTACTTGTAATTATATTCATTATTAATAAATGATATAATAAATATTTATAATTATATGTTTTTTCTTTTTTTTTTTAAATAATTTATTGTGTCAAATATTGTTCCAAAAATTAATAAATGTTAGATAATAAATTTTTTGTTAAATATATTTGTGTTATCTCAATATTTAAATTCATTGAATTTTCTCAAATATAAAATTCTTTTAAATATCTCGTAAGACGAAAAGAGATGCATCATAACCATAAAACCATTTTTCATAATTATGGGCACATATAATTCTTCAACCACTACCCAATAATTGCGTGTATAAAAAAAAAAAAAAAAAAAAAAAAAAAAAATAGATAAAAGAACAAGGAAGTATTAAAAATGAAAATTGATAGGAATGAAGAGGAGTATGAGAGAAGAAGAAAATTATTTAAAAAAAAAAAATAAAAAAATAAAAAAAAAACAAAGAAAGAAATAAATAAAGAGAGGAAAAAAAAATGAAAGTAAAATGGCCGCGACCCATTAAGCAGGCGGGGAATCTATTTGTATTACGAAATCACTTTGTCAACAGGAGGGTAAAGCAAGGAATCGATGTCAGGGTTGCCACGACATAGTACTCGTTCTAAACACGTCGATAAATCCTTCGGTTCACCACCGCGAACATATTTTCTCTCTTCCCCGCTTATAATACCCCCCATTGATCTTCTACTACGATAATAAAATTAAATTTAACACCTTCTTTCACCTATTCCACCTATTTCACCTCGTCAAAGCAACCGCTACAACCCCACAACCCCCTTCCGTCATTCTCACGCACGTATTTCGCATAAACGTAGAAATACGCGAAATAAATTGTTGCTTAAATTGAAAAATATTTGGTTTTTTTATTTTTATGAAATGTTTATGAAATGGCGAATAATTTTATTGAATTATTTTATATTTTAATAAATGTGTTGTTTTTTTAATTATTATTTTATATTTCAATAAATGTTATTATTTTGGGGTATTTTATTATTAATTATTTATTATATTATATTTTATATATTATTTAATTATTTATTTATATATTATATTTATATTATAATTATATTGTATTATAATATATTATAATATTTAATTTATTTTATAATTTATATTTTAATTTTATATAATACAATATAATAATATAAAAATAAAAAAGAAACATGTGTGCAGATCACAAGTGTTAGAAGTGAAATCTTTAAAAAATTAAGTTTCGAGAGAATCAGACGAATACAAAATATCTGCTGTAGGATAATTGTATTCTCTTCTTATTTAATATCACGGCCGTTTCATAGCCGCCTACCGCTCCGTTACATAGCCGCCTACCGCTCCGTTACATAGCCGCCTACCGCTCCGTTACATTTTTTCAAATCACACCCATTCCAATGAAGTTTTCACTTCTAATAAAAATTTAAATATTGAAAATATTTCTACCCCTTCGATTTATCAATGAAAAAAACAAAAAAAAACAAAAATGAAACAAATTGAACGGGGGAAAAAAACAAAAAGAAAAATAAACGCGGAAAGTAAAAGAAACAAAAAAAAAGAAAAAGAGATGCAAAAGAGAGAGGAGCATATTGCATTTACGGAAACGAAAAAGATGCGAACGATGAGAGAAAGGTTTCTCGTTCGTCAGAAAAAAAAAAAGAAATAAAAACGAAAACAAATATGAAAACGAAAAACTCGTTTTCGGTTTTAGTCCAAGCTTCGGTAGTGTCCGGTGGTGGTATCCAGGAAAAATTTCATAATACCGTTTCCGTTCTTCTATTGCTAAAACACCCCATTCCCCTCACCCTCACCCTCACCCTCACCCACCCAACACACACACCCCAGGGAATGGAGTAAAAAGAAAAGAGAAAATGGAGTTGGGGGAAGGGTTTTTTTTAGATGTTGTTGGGAGAAGTTTTGTTTCAACTTTTCGGAACATTTCAACGCACCGAGAGGGAACAAAACTTACTGACGTTCCTTTCAAATGCAAACAGAAAAACACACAGAGTAAAAGAGAGAGAGAAAGAGACAGACAGAGAGAGAGAGAGAGAGAGACAGAGAGAGCGAGAGAGAGAGAGTGAGTGAATTGAGGAACGTTGAATGCGTTATGTTTCTCTTTTTTTAATTTATTTATTTTTGTTTTTTAGATACGAAAACTTGTCAATACGAATTTTATTTCAAATATTTCTAACTTTTCTTTTCTTTCTTAAGTTTATCTTGTTTTTTTTTTGGGGGGGGGGGTTTGAATTATAACCAACCGTGTAACTTCCGGTTTCACATTAACCCTTTGTTTCCTTTTGTTTCTACTTTGATTTTTTTTCTGTGAATTTTAAATAACATTTTTTTTTTATCAATTGTACATGTTTGTATTTAAAATTGCGATTAAATTCATTCAAACCCTTTTTGTTATTAATTTTTTTTAATTTATTTAGTTGTTTTCATTCGAATGAATGCTAACTCGTATTATTAATATTTTTTCGAGGTATCTTCGAGGAGAATTGAAATATGTAATGAAAAATAAACAAACAAAACAGTATAATACAACGATTGTTCATCACAGATGATAATCCCCTAAATTTGAAATAAAACAAGAATATTTTTTATTAAATTTATCAAATAATTTTTATTTATATTTATATTTATTTATTATTATATTTATTGTTACATTTATATTAAATATTTTAATTTTTATTAATATATTACATTTTATTATAAAACAAAACTGATACCAAGTTATCCATACATTTACATAAACATAGTTTATTCACACCACTACTACCACTACCACTACTACCATTACTATTTTTTTGCAATTGTTATTGCTGGTAACTGCTACTACTACTGTAACTGCTGTCGTTGGGTTAAGGTTACTTATCGATTGGCAAAGTCTGACCTAACACTGACACACTTCACTCGCGGCTTCGAGGTCTGACCTCTGGTTCCGTATCGTGTATCGACCATTACCATAACCTTACGATTTATATAAGTTATATATATATGTATATCGCGTTCACCAACGCTTCCACGATCATTCCTAAACGAACAACCAATGTCCAACCCCTTCCTTCCTACCCCCTACCCCTCTTAACCCCCTGCCACCTTCGTTTAGTTTTAGATTACTACGATAACTAACGTTTTATATCTAAACCTGTCTTTTTTCGTTATCTGATCAAACACTCTTCTACCCCACCTTTTGTTCATTTTTTTTATTTTATTTTTATTTTATTTTAATTCTCGTTTCATTATAAATCGTTCTGAAAGTAATTGTTATATTTTTTTAAATTTCCTGATGAGTTTTATACATTGTTTATGAGAACGTTTTATATAAATGATTGTTAATTGATAAATGTTGAATGAAAATGATTTGTAAATGTTATTTTTCAGTCCACTAACATGTGGTTCACCAACTATGATGGAATCTTGGGGTCCAGGGAGGATAGGTACCCCACCACCCTCATTACCAGTACCACCAGCTGGGACCAATGGTGCTGGTGTTGTTGGTGTTGGCGGTGGTGCAACATCAATGACAAGTGCAAATGTTGTACAACCAAATACTACAGCCCCTATTGCAAGTCCCGAGGGTGTAAGCGATGTAAGTTTATTGAAAAAAAAACAAAAAATCCCCCTATTATTTTTTTTTGAGAATTTTTTTCAATAATTGCATTATCAACTTTACAAAAACAAAAAATTATAATAATATTATTGAACAATTATTTTGGAATATTTTTTAAATATCGATTATTATTTTTGACAAAATATATGTATATATATATATATATATATATATATCTATGATAAATCTGTGAACGTATGACGTCATTTTATGCTAGGTACTTTTAGGTTATGTTAAAGGTTATCGTACGAACATAACCGACTCGAGTTAATAGCATAGTAGGAGGAAACGTATTTAGGCAGATTAAGTGCTTCTACATTAGAGATATGTAGGCTGAATATATATGTATATGTATAATATATAGGGTGAATCAAATGTTCTTACTTTAATGATTTACAATTTGTTAGATTTTAATTTTTCCTTTTTAAGGCAAAAATATCATGTAATTTTAATTCTTTTAATATTTATATATATATATTACATATAATTTAATTTATTTAAAAATATTATTATTTATTTAAATTACTGTATAAAGTAACTATTTAATATTATTTAATAATCTTCTTAATTTTATTACAAATAATATTAATTTAATAAAAAAAAAAAAAAAATGCAATTGAATGTAAAAAAGAAAATATCAAAAAACATTGAATCAAATTATCAAATATTATTCTAATAAATAAAATAATATAATAATATTAATAATATTAAATTAAAAAAAATAATATGTGTGTGTGTGTGTGTGTGTGTCTAATAAAATAGAAAACGATCTAACGTTTTAAATTTGGTCTACCATATAGGTATCCCAGAAATCTGGAATATGGGAGGGTCCGAATTCATCGAATGGTGGTGGTGGTGGTGTTGGTGGTGGTGGTGGTGGTGGTGGTGGTACTGCAACGGAAGGTGGACCATCTCGAAGTGTTTCTCACGCTGCAAGTTTAGATGCAATTTCGAGAAAGGCCATAAAACCGGATACGACCAGGCCGCCATGTCGCAGTCTCACCTGCAGCGTTTGTAAGTTTAATTTCAATTTATAATTTTATATAACCATCATCTTACTCTCTCTCTCTCTCTCTCTCTCTCTCTCTCTTTTTATTTTGTTCTTCTTCATTTTCAATCACATTCTATCTCTTTCTTTCTTTCTATTCCCTATTGTTCAATTAATAAATCAATAAATCGATCAATCAATCGATTAATTCATATCCCAATTTATGGTAGTTTGTTCCTAACCTTAAATACAAAGATTTATATGGTGAAGTGGTGGTTAGATATATATATTGGTTCAAAATATTTTATTGTTTTTTTTTTTTTTTATTCTGGATATTTAACGTAAATGCTTGCAAAATAATACGAAATTATTTATTTATTTAAATTATTATGAATTTTAACGTAATATACTCACATATATATATACATATAGTAGTACTTAGGTTAGTTATAATTAAAACAACAAATAAAAATGCTACGAAATTATTTATCTCTATCCCAATTATTATTATTTATAACCTAGTATATTTACATGTAATTATAATATTTAAAATTATTTATAATAATATATATATAAAAAAAAAAAATCTTATTTCTTCCGATATTTGCAGAAACGCTTGCAAAATGCTACGAAATTATTTCGTATCTTTGTTTCTACTATATTTTGTTTGTTTGTTTTTTTTTTTTTTTACTAGTTAATATTATAATATTACTAAATATTTATTAAATATTATTTTTTGGATAAATAATAATTTATTATTTTGATATAAAGCTTGTTGTTACTATTCGTTGGTTCGTATTTTCGCAAGACATCTTGACGCCATGGCATTCTAGTTCCGCGACTACGATCGATATCTGCCAGATACCGAGAAGAGACACTGGACTAAGGGGGTGGGTGGGTGTGTAATGTAAGGGTTGAACATGAAAAGCCAAATTACTTCATTGAGTACACCATAGAAATTTGATCATTAATTCATAATTGATATAGAGTCTTAGTCAATCGTAAATCATTTTTACAGTTTTTTTTTTTTTTTGGGTAATTTTAGCAAAATTCCCTCGTCAATTTTATCATTTGATTTGTATTTTTTTTTTTTTTTAAATGATAAAATACATTCTATTTGTTTTTATTTATTTTATTTTATTTAGAAAGTTTGTTGATTAGTTGTATGATATAGTTTAGGAGAATGTAGTCTTGTAATTAAATAAAAATGATCATTGAAATGATTGCTAAAGAAAAGAAATTTGAATTCCACTTTTTTTTGTTTGTTATAAAATTATTATAAAAAAAATATATTGTAAATATTTAAATAAATAATTATATGGAATGTATGATATAATTTTTGTTGAATAAGATTATTATATATAATATATATACTGTTCAGTGGTTTGTTAACTTAGCTATCACATATTATACATATACATATATATATGTATTATACATATATATATTAATATTATCGCATGCTATCTTTTTTCATGACACAAGTGTTGACGGGTTAGTGTGTGTGATGACCTTTTGCCTTTAAATGTCGTGTAATCTGTAATTGTACTTAGTCATATTGTATGTTCGAACAGAGAGGGTAAAATAAAAAAAGAAGAAGAATAGAAAAGAAAAGAGACAAAGAATGTTAAAAGAAAAGAAAAAAAAAAGAAAAAAATACAAAAAGTAAGAATTTGTCGAGATCAAAAAAAAAAAAGAAAAAATGAAGGCGGATAAAAGGTTACAAATTCAAATAGCCCGCCAAAAAAAAAAACAAAAACAAAAATATCAAATGATAGTTAATAATTAAAAAGGTTTGAGTATAATTTTCAAATCGTACCCTATTGTAATTCTATTCGTTGTAGATCTTGTATCGTATGTATTATTTCGTATGCAATTTGATTGTTTTTGTTGTTGTTGTAAACAATTTCATTTTTTTTAAATAATAATTTGTCTATCTGTCTCTCTCTGTGTGTGTCTGTCTGTCTTTCTCTCTCCGTTTCATAACAAATTTTGCCTAATTATTGTTTTTAAAAGACAACAAAACAAAACCACAAGTATATTTTTCATTTTACAAGTTCACATTTTCCATTACTTCATCCCCCAACCTTTATATCAACCCCCTCTTATCTTTCTCCACTTGTTTTTTTTCAACACAAATTTTATTTCTTCTTCTTCTTCTTCTTCTTCTTCAGCATCAAAAAATACAAAATAAAACAAACATTAAATCAAATGAAATTAATCAGAAAACAAATGAAACAAATAAAATTATGCGCATTGTCAAATTCAAAAGTCAAACATCGGAAAACTATTTTAGTAGCGGGCAGAGGTTGCGAACAAGTCACCCTCGAGAGAAGGCCAGCAACAGTCGATAATCTCACCGAAGGTAAAACAGGAAGAAATGGGGCAACCACTCCCTTGCTCCATCTTGGTTTTGTTCAGTACTTTTTTTTTATCGACCGAGTCGAGCCGGCGAGTTTGCACCCCCTTTCAATTTTTTTTCAAAAAGTTAAAAAAAGAAAAAAAATAATTTAAAAAAAAAAAAAAAAAAAACTCTTACCAAACGCTTGCGGCGCTTCTTTTTGTTTTGTTTTTTTTTTTTTGGTTTTCTATATTTTTTTGTTTTGTTTTGTTTTTGTTGTCTTTTTTTTTAATTTTCATGAGCTTACTTTCTTGTTGTTTTTTTTTTTTATATATGTATCGAAATGATAACGTGTTTACTCGTTGTCGGAAAAAAGCTTTCATAGGCCTGTATTTTTTTTTTTTTTTTTTAATTGCTCACACAAACTACTACTGTTGTAATAATAATTATTTATTATTATTATTATTTATTATTTTATTATTAAATTGTTCAATAAGTTTATTCAAGTTCGTTTATTTTTATTTGAAAAAAAAAAAAAAATAAATTTAATTAATTAACAATAATTTTGGTGATTTATAAATATTCATTTGTTTATAATATTATTTAGATTATTTATAATAAAAATAAATAAATAAATGACAAATATTTGTTTTTACTAAGAACTAACTTATTGTTCGATTTAATAATTATTTGGATTATTATTTATTTAAAAAGTTGCAATATTGTATAATTGAAAAAAAAAACGCAGGGGTTGATTTGTTACTTTGTAAAAGCTCTCAAATTGTTTTGTAATTTTTCTATAAATTAATATTTTATTATATACATATATATATTATCTATTTTATCAAACGAGCACCGTAGCCTCGCTCGGCCAGCCACGTTTGCGCACCAATCAACACACCGCTAATATTTTCTACGTTTTATTAATGCTTTATGATCATTTGCAATCATCGATAACAACAATACATTAATCTCAATTTTTATTAATAATTATATACAAATATTCTTTCAATTTAATTCATTTCAATCAATAATTCGTCAATGTTCGAAAAATTTTTTGTTCTTGCGGGTAATGTAGAAATCGTTTTTATCGATATCCGTAGGGGTAGTTCTTAATTTTTTTCTTTTCAATTAATTTCCTCGATAAGTTGAAAACGTGTTCGGCTGGTCGAGAGAATGAAATAATAATAATAATAATTATTAGAATAATTTTTGTGAGTTATAATAATTTAAATATATAATCATCAGTCGAATTAATTTTGGGCTCATTTTTTTCAAGGGATGATTTTATATTACGAATTTAATTAAAAAATAAATAAAAAATATGAAATATTAACTATATTTATATTTGCAGTTGATATATAACGTGTGTGTGTGTTTTTTTTTTAGGAACATTGTGCAATAATTTTCATAAATATATACATATATATATATATAATTAATATCATTGTACAAACCATAATCGATTATTCATCCTATTCATTGTTTTCTATTTCTACACATATGAGATATTTAAATAAATATAATTAATTAACTTACGTTATTTACGATTTGATGAAAAAAAAAAAAAATAAAAAAATAAATGCGGAATAATTCAGAATTTTTTTAAACAAATTATTTTATCATTACACTAATCCCTTTTTTTTGTTGTTGTTCGAGTAGTATAATAAATAATTTGTAATAAAATCATAATTAACAAAGATATTTAAATATTGTCCTTTTTAAATGTCTCACGATATAATTAATGTATAGAATATTGTCTTAACATTGAAAAAAAAAAAAAAAAAGAAAAAGAAAAATGATTGACACCTTTCTTTTGGTTTTTATTTTTGACAAACATATAAACCTTCGTTATTTCTTTCACAGGTATGCAGCTTATTATAGTGCAGATTGATTAACTCATTTACTGACACACTATTATTTTAATGCTTTTAGTTCGAGATATAGGCTCGGTTGTTTTATTTTTATTATTTTTTAAAAAAATTATTTATATTAATTGTTCATTTAGATCAGTAGATTTATTAAATTAATTAAATTTTGTAATTAGGTTGTTGTATTTTTAGTTTGTCATATATTTATGTATCATTTAATTTGAATCATTGGATTTAATATTTGATAAATAATTTATTGTATTTTTATAATTCAATATTTTTGTTAAATTTAATAATTTTATATAATGATATAAATAATTTTATAATTTAATAAATTATTGCATTCAATATTTAATAAATAATTTCTTAAATTTGATAATTCAATATCTTTTTTTGTAATTTTCTAATTTTATATTTTATCTTAAAATAAATAAATTACGTGTCACGTTGTTTGTCCGTAATGGACTCCTTAACTAATGAACCGATTTTAATCAAATTTTGCACATTGTGTGCAGTTTTATCCAATTTGAAAGATAGGATAGTTTATATTTTTTAGTTTATAACAAATGGCGGTGTAAGGTAATTCGTTGACTTAAAGACGTGTGTATCGGACTGATTGTAATATTATAAATTATATTATATAGTAATATAAATATTGAATAATTTAACAAATTATTGAGTTATAATTTTTAATAAATAATCATACATTTTTGCTATTAATTATTACTATTATTATTGTTTTATTGTGTATTTTTTAGTGTATGTTACAAGTTGTGTATTTATGAAAGTTTTTATCTGCTATCATTCACAGTAAATTATTTGATTTCTTTTTTTTTTTTTACATTAATTTTATAAAATTATTATTAAATATTATGATGTATTATGAATTATGATCGAGCCTGTATTTCGTATTTCTAGAATTTTAGAATATAACAGAAGTAAATAAATGTGTTATTATATCTATGAGATAAAAATATATATTTTATTAAAAAAAAGAAAAAAGAAAAAATAAATCAAACAAATGATTTTGTAGAAGTAACGATTGATAACATTTTCATGTTTTCCCTCTTTTAGCAGCGAAACATTCGAAAATCTTCCCTGGTGTTGCATCGGAAAGCGATTTACAAAAATGGAGAACATCAAAGGATCGAAAATCACCTTCTTTAAGTCAAATGGGACCGGATTCTATCAAACACAAAGTAAGATAACATTTTTATATTTATATTAATTCTAATTTTTTTTTTGTTATTGTATAATTTATGCATTTTAGATTTATATTTTAATTCAAAAGAAAGAGAAAAAAAAAATCTCAAAAGTTTCTAAATAATTTAATTTAAAGAATAAAAAGAATCTCAAAAATGTAAAAAGAAAAAAATTGAAATAGTTTGATTAATTGTTTACAAACTTTTGAATACAATTTGACAAATACGCTTGCATATCGAATTAAAATTGAATAACCCAATTAGAAAATTGAATGGAATGATTAGAAATATTGTTAAATATATTTCAATAATATCAGAATATATAAGGGTGATTAGAAACAACCCTTATACTAGTGTACAGTAGATTTTAATGCATGTTTAAAAATTAGTCAATTATATTTCTTTTGTTGATAGTGTACCCCATAGATGGGTTAATATTTTATAATTAATATAATTAATATATTTTCAATTAATTTTCACATACATATAACACATACTCATAAACATTACAATCAATCTATCACTGTACATAGAAATAATAATTATTAATAATAATGCGTATATATATATATATATATATATATATATATGACATACCAAGGAAACCAAAAAAAAAAAAAGAAAAAGAATTGACATGGTTGTTTATTATTTTTTTCTTTTTTTTTTTTGTAATTTTTTAGTTCTCTCTGCAGGACAACGGCTCGGCGAAATATTTTCAAGGAGCAATGCACACGCCAAATATGGGTGAAAAAGTAGCACAGGTAAGGGCACGAATTATTTTAATTCTACTTATTTTCTTATTTTTTAATTTTAAATACAGAAAAGCCAGGAGGTTTGTACTCGATGAAAAATAATCTATCGAAAATTCTAACAAATATTGAAATATTTTATCCAATGATKATTATTATTATTATTACATACACACATGTTAAAGTATAATATATTTAAAAAAAAAAAAAAAAATGTTTATAGTTTGTTTCTATCAATCGTGTAGAATTTTTATTTTATTGTATACATATATATATGAAATTGCAATTATTTTTCAATGATTTAGAATACAGTGTACTTAGTATACAGTGTCATTTTATTTCTTGTTTGTTTTCTTTCGTTTAAAGTAATTTTTATACAATCGTTAGAATAATTATTTCATTTTTATATTGGATATACTTTAATACGGCCCTGAACTGGCGCCATTCAGACTATGCCGCAGTATCGTGTGTAAGATAATTCAAGCATACTATTTCCAATGATTTTCTATACATGTTGAAAAATTAACAGCTAAAAGTTTTCATATTTTTCAAATAATACGAAATAATTTATTTTTGTAAATATAATTCTATATTTATTAATTCATTCGTATGTGTTAAGTATTCATTGGATAACCTCTAAAAAATTATTATCCGGTGTTATAGACAAATATTTTCTTCAATATTAAAAAACATTTATGTTATCCGATAAATATTTTCAAAATGTACGAATATTCTTTTGAAAAAAAAAAAAAAAGAACAAAATGATTAAACTTTAACCTCTGTCTCTCAAACAATTTCTTTAGAATATTATTTTTTTTCTTTTTTGAGGATGGGTTGATTCTGTAAGATTCTTAGAAAAAAAAAAAAGAAAAAATTCAAGTATCTCGGTCTTGTTACCCCTGTCATCTCAAGGGGGTTGGTTGAGTAAGTGTAAGAAAAAGAAAAAAGAAAAAAAGAAAAAAAGGGAAGGGTATAAAGAGAATTTTTTTTCAAGTGATTCTCTTACCTCACTCACTCGACCCCGCCCCTGCCCCTGCCCCTGCCTCTGCCCCCCCCACTCCTTTTTCTAAGACGGTGTTACAGTCTTTAAACAATTTTCACGTTTCGTGCCTACATCGGAGTACTTATCCTCGAAGCAAACTAACCCCTTTCCACCCCCAAAAGTGTACATGAGTATATTACATGCAAAGTCCACTTATACAAGGTGTCCCGAAAGTATCTTGACAAATTTTTAGTACATCACAAGTATATGAATAGGATTATACATATTTACATAAATCTACAGGTGTATCAAACTGAAGTATGTCAAATTGTTGTTTTGTTAAAGTGTTTGGTAACAGGTAATTCGATGTTAACGTTAGATAGATGGATTGTTGTTTTTTTTTTGTGTCTCTCTTTTTTTTGAACTAAACGGAAACATGGTTCAACACAAAGTTAGGTTATCGATAACCGATAGGTTGGTTATACTATGCTATTGTAAAACAATTTCTTGTTGGTTATTTTCGAAAGAATCGTAGGTTGTTGGTCGTCTATCGGTACTGGTTGAATAACAATTTTTGACGTGAGATAATAAAAGAGATAAATTGTTTTAAATTTATTATACCATAACCTGTAAAAAAATATATTTCTTTCAAGACAGAAAAAAAAAAACAAGAAAAATGCTGGAGTTTGAAATATTTTTGTTATTGTTTTACGTTAGTGTTATGTTTATATTCGTTGTATTATTCTCGAGTGTAAAAAGAAATGGAAACCCGATCAATTGTCACAACAATTTGTTTGAAATGACGAAGAAAAGAATTAAAATTGTCCGTTAGTTTCGTACAATGATATTTTCAACGATTAAAAAAAAAAATAAATAAAAAAATAAAAAAAAAGATAAATAAAATAAGGGAGATAATCGAATATCGATAGAAGTAGAAGAAAAAGAAGAAGAAGAATGCCTTCGGGGGTGTTAGTCGATGTATCAATTTCAAATCGAAATAAAACCATGTCGATAAGGAAGAACTCGATATCGTAGAAGAAAAAAGAAGAAGAAGAAGAAACAAAGAAAGAAAATAAAACCTCACCCTCCTCATCCTCCAGTTGAATTCTTTCGTATGGATGAACAAAAGTATTGTGTCATTTTGCATAAAGAAGAAAGAAAATAGAAAGAAAAAAGAGAAAATGAAGGGAGGAAAATTCGTCGATCGGAATATGGAAGAAGAGAAGTTACTCCCCACTCTTTGTCAACCCTCCCCCACCACTACCATTGGCGAATTGCCTCTGGCTAAAGTACCGGAAGAAAAAACGAGACGGAACGAGACAGACTGAGTGAGTGCGAGCGAGCGAATGAGAGTGGGGTAAGTGAGTGAGAGAGTGAGTGAGTTAGACAGAAGATGCGCGCGCAGGTTGTACCGCTAGGTGGCCAGTAGTTTGAGATCCTCGTCGACAGACGGCGTGCTAGTCAGTGTCGCAGTGTCCCCCGTCCTGCCTGGCAGGTTGCACACCGTCGGCACTCCGTCCACGTCGTCTCCGAGGGAAAAAATTCGCACACATATGTAAACGGTATCGAAAATAGAATTTCGAGGAAGCTTTTTCTTCTTTTTATTCTTAAGCTTCTTCTTCACGGTCACGTATTAAATTAACGTTAGAAAAAAAAAATTTTACGTACATGTTATTTAAATATATATATATATATATTTAATTTTTTTATTTTTAAAAATAAACAAATTGAGAGGGAGAACAAGAGAGAGAGAGAGAGAGAAAGAGGGATGATGAAAATATTTGAAAGAAAAAAAAATAATAAAAATAATAATTAATAATCAAATTGCATGGAAACGTTTTTTTTTTCTGTCTCGAATCTAAGGAAATAAGAAAGAAAGAAAGAAAGAAAGAAAAGAAGAGGGTGAAAGGGAATAAGAGAGAGGGGTAGTAGTCATAGTTGGGGTAGGTGGTTATTATCGTCGATCGAAGGTGGAACGTTGCAAAATGGATTTTGACCTCCTCGTCGCGTTCGTGTTCACCACCTCGTCCTCGTCCTCGTCGTAGTCGTCGTCATCGTCATAGTCGTCGTCGTCGTCGTGGTGGTGGTTGTCATCACAGTCGTCGTTAGTGTCGACGCGTGCTTCACGACCATCCACCAATCGTAAACGAATTAAACATTTATTTTTAACAAATACATTCATTTATTGTTAATAATCTTTCATTTAAAAAATAACACCACGAGTTCTCAAAGTTTTCATCGATTGAGGGTGGGGGGGGG